ATATTATATATTATTATATTATATTATTTTTATTATTATGTTATAGTTATATTATATTTATTTTATTATATTATAACTTAGTCGCTTAGAATCTGTTATACTAATTTTTAAAAAGAAATATTAGGAAGCTTAATAGTTCCTAAACAATCTTCGTTATTAGAGATTAATTTTATTGTTGGAAAATGTAGAAAATATTATATATTGTTATATAAAATATAATGATATTAAATATTATAGGAGCTTCCAATATTTTCCATTCGATGATCGTAGATAGACCAAGCAAGTGATACAATTATACAAATCGACCTGAAAAATTGGCAAAACAGTGTAGATAATATTTTCACACCGAGCTTTGTCATGAAAGATTATTTACATTCTCCAAATCTACCAAGAAAGAAAAATTCAATCAGTATGAAAGCTTCGAAACCTCCTATTTCGACGATCACAGTCTATATACATCTATGTATCTCAAAAATTACCGAAGAAAAATGTAGAGGAGCTCAATAACCTAATCAAATTTCGAAATAAACTTCATCAATTCCATCGGAAATAAAACAAAATATCAAAATCTCCCTTGAATTCTCGTAAATATCTCCTCCGATTTCATCGATTACAGTCTACCTGTACCCCACTCGTACCCCAAATCTCGGCCTCGCAAATTACAAAACTAGGAAAGAAAAAGGAAATTAAATATCCGAATACTCGCAAGCGAAACTTGGTAATTAAAAATATTAAAAAGTATGGAAAGCTCGGAGGCAGTTCCTCGCTTAACCGGTAGTTGAGGATCGGAATATACGATTAAAATTGGAAAATAAATATCGCTAATTCGATCGGGAACTTCGACTCTCGAAACTCGGCGATCGCAAACTGTACACCCTCCCAATCACGCGATATCGACCCCCGAATTACCAAAGAGGGCCATCCGGCAGCGCCGACTTCCGGGAAGTTATTCGAGAGAAATAGGACACGCGAGTTTGAAGCCCTGCACGTATCCGCGTTTCGTACACACTTTGTCGTGAAATTTCCCAGTTTCACTGGCGCGAAACTCTTTCTTTATCTCCCCTCTTTTATCCCGCCTCCCCGTTTATTTCTCCGCGGATCTCGCGGCAGCGAGGGCGTACAGTCCGTTGCCTTATAACCGGCTCATAAATCAATACAACATTTTCACCAAGCGTGACTCGAGCGAAAGATATTGCCAGTACCGCGAAACTTTATCGAAAGCTCGGCGAACGGGAAGGAGAAAAGCCAAAGTAGCACCGTTCCCGCCGCCCCCTTTTTCTTACCCCGCGCCGCCACCCTTTGCCACCCCGCGTCGCTCGCTGTCTTCGCTTTTCCGGTTTCCATCGTACGCCGACGCGTGCACCAGGGACGCGAGAGGAATGGCACAGCCAGGTAAACTAAGCACGGAAATCGGCTCTCTGCAACCGCTCTCCACGTCGAGTCTCGTTCGAGCGAAACGTAATACCGTTTCATAGGGAAATAATATTTTATTTCCCCTCCACCTACTTCTCGTCTTTCCTCCGCCGCTTGCCAGCGCCGCAGATTACGCTCGGCCCGTGCGCTTTTATTTCTGGCCAAACGACGTCATCGTACCTGTCATTATGGATTTTCATCCGCCCCGAGTGTCTCGTGAACGACCAGGTCGACGTAGCTTCGAGGAATTTCGAAAAAACCCCGCCAATTTATCGGCGACTAGTAACGCGTCGCTTAGCGGATTTGAATTTCCCGCCGTTTTCGAAGATGGCGGTTTTCGGCGTGCGCTGGGCTTCGAGAAAGGGACCCCGAAACCTTTGTTTCTAGTATATTGTTGCGTTCACTGGTATATTGATTCGTGGATTTATGAAATGACGACTCTGCGAAACGACGAAGATGATAAGAATTATTTCGAAAATTTCGAAATGTGGGTGTTTCATAACCTATCTTCGCGTGTCCCAATCGTGATCGTTTTGTTTAAAGGAGAGAATAATTAAGAGTAATGGACGATTTAGGAGGTTGAACGAAGCAAAATGTAGTTGGAGAATGTTTAATATATCAGAAGAATTATAGTAATTGCTAAAACGTGCTTGATACTCGATTTGTTAAACAAAACAGGTATTACGGAATATCGTGCACGAAATTTTCAATGCATGATCCACTTTTACCTTAAAAATTAATACATTTTTAATGTAAGGAGAAATTGTACGTAATTCAATATATTTACAATTATAGTGCGTTAAATGTAATATACTAAGCCTTAGCGGACGAGCGTCAGCAAATGGCCGCCATTTAATATTATGATTAATCTTTTCTCATTAAGAGGAACCATTTTGTCGATGTAAAATTAGATTCATATATAATCTTTCAAAACTGTTGTTCTTCGCTTCTTTTAAAATTTCTCACCTAGACTGACTAGCTTGCACAAACTCAAAATGGCGTCGTCCTCGAAGGATTCACGATTGCTCTACTTCGCAATATTTTGGAAAAATTTCGAATATTGCTAATTAGACACATACAAAGGAATAAATTTGTGAAGTGTTACGCTAAAATTGTAAGATCAACTCAAACGGAAGTTGATTGTGGACCAACGAAACCACGAGGAATCCCTATATATCTGTAGCCATCCAACGCTTCCTGTCGAAATCAACCAACACCTGTCCTAAACTATCGAAATATGCGTGAAACTTGGAAACGCTATCCTCGCCACCTCCGTTAGTAACACACCGACACCCGTGGTCTCGTTTACTTGGGCCGCTTCGTGAAAACTATCGCTAATCGAGATAGACGTCAGCCAGGGCTAGCCCGGTAGCAATCTCCTGGTCCCGGATTACCGATCTAATCATCCTAAGAAAACAGCCAGTCGATTTGCCTAGAGACCCGGATCATTAACTCGTATAGCAGTAGTCTGCCGCGAGTCGTTATTAGCTCTAAAATCGGATCAATATCCCGGCAATCTGCAGATCATACGATACCCTCAAACGCGACGCGAGGCATACGGATCATCCGCAAACCCGGTCTGACGTCCTTCCAATTATACGGTATATACCGTAAATATATACCGTAAATCGGTTGACAGGATGTACAGAGGGCAACTAGCTAAGCATGAGCGTTGCCGATGCTGTGCCGCGCGCCGCGAGGGTGACCGAGGTCGGTGTTGTAAGAGCAAGAGGGTAACCGGTGTGTACTGATCATGTTTACTCGTAGGTAGCGGTACAGGGCAGCAGGTTAACGGGGCGATGACGTCGTTACCGTCGCCAACGATGCCCAATTTCAACATGGCTCCACAAACACCGAATGGTCAACCAGCAGGTTCGGATCCCGGTGTCTACACCAACGGGATACATCAGTCCTATGCGGGACGTGAGTATCAACTCAGGCGCAGTGTGCCGCCCCTGCGCAATGCTCGGCCAATCCACGCTGGACTTTATTATTTTCCCTTCGCTATGAGGAGCAAGTAACCTCGCCCCAGACATACACCGACGTTACCTCGGGTCTTTGCTTCGCTAGGGGTTGCAGCATTCTTCGGGGTTTCTTCCTTTTTCCTTTCTTTTTAATTATTTTTCTTGCTATTTTCACGTGGCTATTTCGATCTGAGAATTTGATTTATTTTAGCTTTTAGATGTTTGAGTTACTGTAACTCTGCTTGTATTACTTGGGTTCCTTCTTCTTGGGGTTGGATGATTTTTGGGAGTTTCTTACTTTTTATAATTATTTTTAATTATTTTTGTTGGTGGTTTCACGTGGCTATTTCGATCTGAGAATTTGATTTATTTTAGCTTTTAGATGTTTGAGTTATTGTAACTCCGCTTGTACTACTTGGGTTCTTTATTCTGGGGGTTGGAAGATTTTTGGGGGTTTCTTACTTTTTATAATTATTTTTTATTATTTTTGTTGATGGTTTCACGCAGGTATTTCAATGTGAAAATTTGATTTGTTTTATCTTATACTTGCTTATATTATCTTATATTTGCATTGTTTAAACTCATCTTGTATTACTTTGTATTACTCTTTCTTCTCGGGGTCGAGACATTTTTGGGTGTTTCTTTATTCTCTAAATATTTTTAATTATTTTTCTTGATTTCTTCACGTGGGTGTTTCAATATGAAAATTTAATTTGTTTTACCTTTTAAATTTTTGCATTATTTTAACTCATCTTGTATTACTTTGGTTGTATTACTTTCTTAGATATTTTCTATCTTTCTTCTTCTTTTCTAAATTTGTTTTCATTTATTTTTATGCAGTTTTAAATGTTTTGGATATTAATTGTCTTTTAATGTAAAAATTTGATTATTTTTGTTCGAGGTGTTTAGTTGATAGCAATTCGTTCATAGATAAACGATAACCGTGAATTCATGAATTTACGAAGTTCGTGAAGCAAGTGTAAAGATTTTTTTGGAAAAATCAAATTTTTGTTACATTGACCATTCCTCGCATAATCTCAGGCTCCTCTCTACCCTTATACTTCCTTATTCCTAGCGATTGTGCATACAAAGTCAGCACACACGCTTTGGAAATATTCCATCATGCAAGTTCAAAAGATCGACCCATCAAATCGAACCGTGATCCATCCCGGAAGCCTGTGTTTCGAGTCCGATAGCAACCAATCGACGATCATCTCCTTCATAGATACCAGAATTTTATCTCATCCTTTTTCTCACATTTCCCATTCCTTTACTCAAATTCCCTCCATCCCTCGCCCTATGGTTACTTGCTTCTGCGATATTTTTGATAGAGCCACGAGATAAACCTTGGAACAGTATTTGCAGAAAATTTAAATACCATAATTTGCTCGCGAAAGTACTCTTTGACAAATTTTAAAACGAACCTTTGAGATTTAAGAGTAAAACGAATACATTTCTGGGATCTTACGATTGAAATTACAATTTTATGTAAAATTAAATTCCGACTTTACTTGAACCCTATTCAAACCCCATTTTTTGAGAATTTGAAGAATAGAATAGACTCTTGACAGTAGTCTCGATAAAAATGAATATTAATTTTACTAAACGAAGCTACGATAACTGCAGCGAACCAGGAACCCTGTAAAGTCACTCCAAGGAAAATTAACCCTTTGCACTCGAGGGGTGCCCTTCAGTCGTCATTTGATAAAATTTCGAAGCTCGATGTTAAATAACATATCAAATTTAAAATAATGTAACACTGTGCGAGGTATCTAAATTAAACAATTCTACGTGTTAATTATTACACGATTTCTCATTTACTGCTCAAAATATACCAAATAATATAAAATAAAATAAAATACAGAATAAAACAAAAATATCAAATAAATTCTTTAGCCAAAAAATCGTCGAGCGCAAAGGGTTAAAATTGCTTAATAAAGAATAAAAAGAAATTAAAAACCGTTCTTTGTAGTGGTAGTATCAAGCAAACGAGGAGTGAAAACCCCCCATAACCCTTTGCACTGAAAGAACGACTTAACTTGTCACTGGTTGCCATCAAATGTTCCAAAAATTTACGTTCGATATTAAATTAAAAACTCGAGGATGCCTGTTATGGTTCTGTATAACTTTCCGAGTGCAAAGGGTTATTATTAATCCGTATAAAACTGGAAATTAATTTGACCCGAAAGAAGCTGCACGTTTGCAATAGCTGCGAGAGACGAGAGACCGGTGATGCCGGCTCGTGCTGATAGTTCTAGTGTTAAACTAACGAGAGATGCGAGAATACACGTTGATACGGTGGCAATATCGATTGGTCGGTCAGTATTGCGACAGGGGCCCTAGACATAGGTCCGTCCCCGATAAGAGCTGTGCTTATTGAAGTGTAGATGCCCTCCATCTGTCCATTCCAGCACCAGCGCTCCCCAATGGGGAGGCACTCCAGCATGCGTATCCTGGAATACAACCCTACCACGGCGTCGGTAAGTTTTTTCTTCCCCATTTACTTTTTCCCTTCGTCTTATCGAGAATTCCGCCAAGCCTTCGTATCTGCAACGAATTTTCACGGAACTTTAGCGAACGCATTTGATAGTGTGCTTTTTCGATGACAGCACGAAGCCTCGATGCTAGAGCCTAACCAAAGAGCGATCCAAATCGGATTCTGTCACGGGTCTCGGCCGAAACGAACATTCTATTCGAGATTCACCGCGTTGACTATGCAACGCGTGATATTGTTGCACTTTTTTCACTCGTGCACATACAGGGTGGCGAAAAAACAGGGTTCCCGACTTTGGGGGTAGACCGAAGGATGAGGGAAAAATCGTAACAGATTTCTCAAAGTTCTGGATGATCTTTTGTTTCGGTTATATTTGAAATTGAGAATGGTGAATTAATTGTCTAATTATTTAGGGGACTGACTGAAGGATGAGGGAAAAATCATAACAGATTTTTCAAAGTTCTGGATGATCTTTTGTCTTGGTTATATTTGAAATTGAGATTGGTGAATTAATTGTCTAATTATTTCTCGTATTTATTTACTCATTTGATTGCCTATTTTAAATTAAGGCGACGATGTATGCAATATTGGAATAAAAGAATTCGATACGTTAATTTATTCACGATCATTTTCATATTGTTATAGAAAATTGAGTGAATTTTATCAGAGAAAGTGTGCAGATTGTTCAACCTTTTAAATCAAAATTGAAAATCTTCAAGGCACGAAGAATTAAACAAAAAGTTACTAATATTCATCATTGATCACTATGGTATATTATGAAAGCGTTAAATAAATTTTGTTCATTAACTATTTTGACAGCACAGTTAAAAATTCCAAGTGTGATTTTACCATTGAAATCTTCAAAGCGTGAAGTGTTAAACAAAAAGTTACTAATACTCATCACTGATCACTATAGTATACTATAAAAGCGTGAAATAAATTTTGTTTATTAATTATTTTGGCAGCGTAGTTAAAAATTCCAAGCGTGATTTTATCACTGAAACTTTTAAAAATACAAAGAAAATCCGAGCCACGATGCACATCGAATTTCACAGGATTAATATAAATCAGGATTAATAAGAAATAATTAACCCAATAGTGCACGATAATAATCATAGTCACTTGCTCGAAGCAAAACAGAGGATCACGTGTAATTTTGAAAAGAAATTAATCCAGTAATTACAATTTTCCCCTAAATTTCCGGATACTTATTCTTTTACCACCCTGTATGTTTTATTGAATTTTTGTTACCCCCTTGATTATCCACGCTTTCGATTCTCCATGAGTACGATACGTTTCAGCGATGCAATCGGGAAAACGCGATCCTACCGTGGAAGTCTCTCAAAATGGTAATTCTGTTCGTTGTTAGATGTACCATCAGCTTCTCCCGACGAGCGCGAATTAGGCGAACGAAGACGTTTCGCGTCGAATTTAATTACCGCCGAACGGGCCCCTTTTCTACGACGATTCGTCAGGGAATAGAGTTCCAAAGACGCGGGGTCGAAACGAATCCGAACGTTCGATTTTAACATGCTTTTATCCGAGCACTCGAGCACTTAACTCCGAAAAATTCGATTCCGCCGATCGCGTTTCTGGCTGTTGCATGCGACTATGGCAGCATGTGTACACTTATATACGTATACACGCACACGCATATAGATACGAATGTCTCGTCGTCAGGACTATACGTATATAACACAGGGGTGCACGATTAAATGTAACGAAGATTTAAATTCACACTTAGCATCCTCATTCTTTGTTTCTCACTTAGAATTTTTCGCTTGTTAGTGAAATCTGTTGTAATTAATAAAGATAGAGGGACGAGGGTTAAAACGAAGTGGAAAGAGACAGACAGAGCACTCGAGAATTTAACACTAGGTTTACGAAACCCGTCAATGTGACGAATGGCTTGCACCAATTATACGACGGTAACAGGTTTAGCTAACTTATATTAAAACTGTTAATACTGCAATTGTTTTTAACCCCTTGGCTACTGTGGGCGCATGTACGCGCTCAGAAATTTTGCTTTTTGACACGGAGGGCGCATATAAGCGCTCGACACAGCTTGCTTCTCTGACACGGAGGGCGCATCTGTATCCAAAATTTTGCCGTTCTCGACGGATATTGTAAATGAATTCCTAAGTGCGTTTCAAAGTCTGCCGTAGTTAAAGGGTTAAATGAAACAAATCGTTAATTCGTGTAGATTTGACAGGTGTCCGTAGAGATAGGTATACAGATAGCGTCCTTAAATCTAGTGTTAACAGCTTTGTCTGCTACTCGGTGTCCAAGACTTAGAAAAATCTGTTGTAATTGATAAATACGAAGAGAGGGGGTTAAAATAAAGCGAACAGAGACAGACAGAGCATTGGAGAATTGAACAGCTGGCTGTGGAACTTGGTTAAATTTAAACGTGCACCGCTGTGCATAGATAGACGTGTCGCGTCAACGTGTCGTTCCATGATGCTTCTGGTGTGGCTGCTACAGTGTAATCTCTATGTTCTTTTAAATATACGTCGTGTACGTTGTATATTGTACCTCCTGAGCGCATCCTGTACCGTGCATGTTCATCGATACGCAGACAACACGTCGACGTGTGTAAATCGGCCAGGTGACCTGAGCGCCCTCTATGCGATGTTGTATCGAGGCGCGATACAAACGGGCAGGAGTTATAATCCGATAACCATCAGCATCAAAATGGACGATTCCGTTTCAGGGATAATCAACGTGTCCACGTAACTATACTTCGATTCGTTCCGCTCGCCGTTAGCAATTAACGCGCGGGGTTTTGATGAATTCTCTGTCCCAATGGTTAAATTAATAACCCAGCGTTCCGAGTTTGCCGTTTCACCATGGCCGGTCTCATAACCGACGCGTCATTATCGGCCGTGAAAACGCCGAACCGCGAAAGGCTGTCGCGTTAACAATTATTTCGCTACGTATTCGTCGCTCCTGACGTAGTAGCATTCTTTCCACCGTGTTGTTCCGTCTTTTACCGCCAGAGGGCACGCGGCGCTTGTCCCGCTAGGCGGAACCACTGTCTCCGGCCGTGTAAGCGGAATTGGTAAAAATTCATCAAATTTGAGGTATAAAACGTTCGTACGTTTCGAGACCGCGCCGGTATCCCGTGTTTGCCAAAGACTCAAAAATAGGATATTCTTTTTCTGTGTATTTTCGTCCAGTGTACACAGAGCATGGAGATCAGCGAGCGGAATAAAAAAAAGCAATCCGAAATATCGCGTGTCCCTCTATCCGGCTGAATGGTAACCGACGTATGATGGCGTATTTATTTCATACGCCAAACGTCGGACCATCGTTGGACCGAAAGCTCCGGTAACGTCAATCGGAATATATTAAAGCAATGTTTGCACGGAAATAATTAATTTCCAAGCGAAAATTTACCTCTTCTGATCTGAGAGCGAACGCCCCGGAACCCTTTTCGTTCCCCCGCCCCCCGTCGCTCTCTCGCCATCCCGTTCTACGTTTATCCGTCACAAACAAATATCAATCGCGCGCGTTTTAAATATTTGCCAAAGTATAATTAATGCCGTTATAATTGCTTTTCTCTAATATTATGTAGTAAAGTGCTCGTTTATCCATCGCAACGCGTATCTGTAGCGCGTTTTACAAATATCGGGTGGTGGAAAATGTTTCGAAAAATTCGATACCGATAAATGTAATCTCGGAAATTTTACAGTTCTTCTTCCCTTTTCGTTTACATTTTCCCTCTTTGCATTTCGCGATTATGATCTTTATTATCCCAATTGTTCGTTCCTAATCGTCGAATTTCGGAACGAGGAAATTCTTTCTGAAAATAGCGGGGAATGCGATGAAGTAGGAATTGAATTTCACCGAGATCCTAGGTCTAGATTTCAATTGAATCACGCTCAAAGCGAGAGCACCCTGTGAGAAACGCGTACTCGTCTCATGGCGGCTTGTTATTTCTACCTTACAACTTCGATTTCGAACGGTGTGTCTCTTCTACGTGTACAGCTACAGTAATCGCGACGCGTGTGGCCAGCGTATAATGAGGAGGGACAGAACGCGACTTTGATGTGATATCGCGTAGCAGTTAATGTCGGTAATATCGGATGAAAGGGTTGCGAAATACAAAAGTATCGTATTAAAAGTCGTGGAACGGTGAGAACGTTGAGAATCGAATATCCTTGTCGCGGAAAACAGCGCGACGTGTGCGGCTTTGGCGGAGAACGGCTCCACCGCGTCTAGTGACTTTTTCGTTTACCTTCGCGCCCGCCGGGCGGCGCTGAGACGCCGCTCGTTAATTCCAGTCTAGTCCTAAATGCTGCCGAATATCGTGGCGCGTCTCGCTCTCGTTTTTCGGTTATCCGTGGAATTAAACGTGGCGTTCTCATCGTACACCACGTTTGTTACGAACAATTATAAACTGTCCTGCCATAATTATTTCTCCACCCGCCGCCGACGACAATGCAATTTCGCATTAACTCGATTGACGTTGACCATGCAGTTTACCTTTTATTAACGTCGTTGCTCATTACATTTACGCTCGTTGCATTCCCGGCAATTATAATTCGTTCTCGCTGCATGGTGTGCACATCGAGACCAGTTAATCCACGGTCTTCGAAAATATTCAGCATCTTTGCCTAGCCTGGATCCAGTTAAAAAAGTCATTTCCCGTGTTATTAAGTTCAAGCGTCAGCCAACGAAGATTACCTTCCCAACATCTTTACGCGACCATAACCCATGGGAACCGGGTTTTAAATAATCAGCGTTCAGAATGTAATTCAGAGATACAAATTCTTCGACTCGGGATCTGTAACCTATAACGAATATGCGATTTTTGGATAGAAATTTTATGTTTTTAATTATTAACTTGACGTAAGAGTTTGAAAATTTGACTAAAATTTGACGTAGGATTTTAATTTTTCTTTTTCTTTTTCCTAATTTAAATTGTATTTTCTCCGACTCGAGATTTTCAATTTAACACACCTGCGATTCCCGAGATCGTTGTATCAGTGATCCGGAATTTCGAGAAACTTGAGAACGATCCAGCATCGGTTTCTGAGGTCCGAAATGCCGAACGCAACGCGCGACTTTGCTTTGTTTCACACGAAAACACTGTTGCCCACGAGAAGCTGTATTTAATGGAAGCGAGATGGGAGCAATAAGAACCGCATGCACTCTTTGTATAGATGTGGACACATCATGATGTATTTGTTATTTGTTACTGTCGCAGCTTATCCCGCCGTCTACAGCCAGTTTACTCAACCAATTCCTCAGCCGATGACCACCATGCCACCCACGCAGAGGGAAGGTAAGTACAAAACACTTATCAACGTCTAAATGTTGACTGTAAACACGAATGATTGTAGTCCTGAGATCGTAGATCCAAATTCCCATACGTCCAGACACGAGTTTATCCTTCGTCGTCACGTTGTACGTGCTACACGATTCATTAGGGCTGATTCCTCGCGTGTTCTGGAGTGCGTGGAATAACTCGCTACACGGAGACTCACGGAGCAAAAATTGTTGCAATGACTTACGTTATACGTGCCGACACAGATAGTACGATGTGCAAGAGTATTTCGTAAATGGTGGTATAACCGAACAGATATCGATTCTACGCGAAAAAACGAGTGAAAAATGTAGAATAAAATTTTTACGTACGAGGCTTCGTTTTCGAGAAAATTTAGTCCAAACATTCGATGGGTTGCAACGCGACGCCATTTTGGCAGATTCGTAGCTGCATATAAAGTAGGTACATAGCAACGAGACGGATTCAGAGAATAAACCTAATGCAAAATCCATTTATTACGTTGCAAATATCACGTAGAAGTAGCTTACAGCGAGATCCGCTAGGCGGCGACACCGTAGGTGCTCCCCAAAAATATATAAATTCAATTTCCTGGAAAACCAAGCTTGCCACGAAAAAATGTTATTCCACATTTTCGACGTATTTTTTGACGCAGAATCTCCTACTCCTCGGTTGTACTTCCAATTACAGAGAATTCTATACCTAAGCACTTCAAAGGTGACTGAGATTATACCCCCGAACATAAGTCAGCCATTTTTCAATTGGAATATGTACGGTTGCAGTCTTTTCCAACTTAATTAGAACTACGAAGGTGAAGGATGACCCACAACTGTTGACGAACTTCTATGCAACCGCTAATATTCTGACTCTCCCAATACCGCGAGTGGTGCCAGGTTTCTCTCTAGAGGCTGTACGAGACAGGTCTCTCTGGCATCGCGTTTCGCCCGTTAATTACCGGCAAAGATAACAACAGAATGAACTTTCAACGTTTCGCGTCCGGGTATCCGCGTCGCGTCTTCGGTTTCCCTTGCAGAGTAATCCTAGCGCTCTCTCGATCTCCTCCATAGGCGGCTGCGGGGGGTCGAGGGTGGGGGGTACGATTAATTAAGTCGATTGACTCGAATTGAATGCGCAAGATTAATCGAAATCGATGTCGTGGCAAGGAATACAGGCGAAAGAGCAAATCATTCGTCAACGTTATCTATGGGGATGAGACGGGGCTGGAAAAACGAAAGAGACGAGCATGGGAGGGGATTAAAGATGGCGGATAAGCGGGAGAAAAGAAAGAAGGTAGGGCGAGCCGAGCCAGCGCCTAATTGCAATTAACAACTCGCCATTATTAGAATATACGACGCCTAACAATGAGATAATGCAAATAAAACGAAAGTTTTAATTACTTTGCCGTTACGCCTGCCGGCGATCCGTTGTTACATCGTAGGATAATGGGAAGTTTACCGCGACAGCGTTCCCCCACCCCTTCGCCACGCTCAGGCCTCCCCACGATATCCCTATTTTCTGCTCTCTTCCAGCGTCGCTTTTCGCTCGTTTTTTCGCCCGTTTTTTCGAACACGCACTGTATCTCGTTGATACATTTTTTCCCCCTTTTTTGCAATATGCTTCCATGCGATACGTTTCAGTCTTTTTTCCCCCCCTTTTTTTCCCCCTCTTTACACATTCGCTGCAATGAGAATTAGGAGATTTAATATTACCGTTAAAGTTGCAATACCTTCTATCCTTCTCCCTCTCTTTCTTTCCCCCATCTTCTATCCTTCTCCCTCTCTTTCTTTCCCCTATCTTCTATCCTTCTCCCTCTCTTTCTTTCCCCTATCTTCTTTCCTATTTGAGAAATATTTTTGAGAATATACCCCGATGTTAATTTAAAATTTCGTATCGTTTTTCTCTTTTCTTAGAATTATTTATTGTCCTTCAAATAAATTTCCCATTTTTGTTATTTATTACTTAAATATTTATTATTCCTGTAACGAATGATTATTTTAAAAAAATTTGTTTTTGCGAATATTTTGGAAAGCACGTGTCGATTGTACTTTCGCGTGAATTTCTTTTCGGTTTTCGGTTTTCTCCCAGTACTTGCAATTACTTGTTGTACTCTAAATAATAAGCATCACGCTTGATTGGTCCGAAACGAATTTTAATTCGATATTACGGGGATTATTTAAATTCTTTACATTAACGTGGAAAGTTAATGTAATATCGTAATATTTGGAATATTAATGCGATAATGAATTTCGCGAGGTAATTTTATGTATGGCAGCTTTTAATATTTCGAGGCGTGCATAGGCCGTGCGTAAGGCGGGAAGTTTAAATGCAAATTGGAATATGATAATCGGAATACCGTAGATAGAGTGTTCATTGCAACGAATGTGTAATCAGGTTTTAAAGGTTAATTTCATTGTGCGATCGTTCGTGAAGCAGGTTTCGATTTATTCAGCTTGCAGGCGAGTGGTACGGATGTTGAGGTTAGGAACGAAGAAAATGGTAGCCTAATGCCTCCATGGCTTGCCGGGGCGACACCGGAAAGACGATATTATAGTTTACTCCGTCATCACTGCATGACATCGTTATCAATTTTATATTTACTGTTGCTTCGTTTATCGTTTCCTGCTTCTTTTCATTTTATTTTCAATGTATTGTACGTCGTACAAGGTGTTCTCGGTGTTCGTCTCTCTCTCTCTCTCTCTCTCTTTCTCTCTCTATTTCTTCTCTTGATCAACCGTTGTGTCATTTTAAGCGTTCCATGAATTCTCTACATTTATTCCTTAAATGGGTTACATCGGTGTATTTTCGTTGCACTCAGTGTCACTATTCTTAGCTGTATTCGGTGTTGCGCTGTCGACCAACATTCATCGTTGTTCATCGTTGTCGACCAACATTGTTATATCGTGTTAAATGTATGGAGTGTGCTCTTGTTACGAGTGATATACTTTATGTGCAAATTTCTAATCAATAGATCTCACTGTCCAGACGCTACTGACTCTGTTAATTGTATATATGTATATATAATAAGTATAAAATTTCGGTGTTTCGTTTTTAGTGATTAACATGATACGTATTTCTGAAATATATTTCGATCTAATTTTTCTTTTTTAAGAGAAATGAGCTAATATATTTGGTCGTATTAAATAAATAAAGCTCTTTTAGCATTCAAATTTTCTACCATATCTCAATTATTTAAATCATTTATTAAATTTCTTTTCTAATTGTTTTAATAATCTTCAATTTTTCACTATTTTCGATTATAACCGTATTAAAGAATCATCTAATTTTTCTGCAAGTTCTATAAATCACAAATCTATTCAATAGTATATCGTTCATTTCATGACACCGAAAGGTCCATTTAATTTCACAAAATTTGGAGTATCAATCCCAATTTCATGGGACGATTCAATTACTCTTCTAAGACTATTAAAAAGTTCGGTCTTAAATCATTGCGATGCAAATAAATCTGACAGAGGATAAATGAAAATTCATTCTTCCGATCAAACATGTTTCATAATTACCAAAAAACTCACCGTTTCTAACATCCGTTTCAACCATCGGAAAACTACCAGTTCACGGTCCACGACCTCCACACTCAGCCACTCTGCATACATTTTCGAGCTCGACTCATTCGGATAAAAAAGATCGTACAAAGCTATGTACAGTTAAAAACTCGTTGGAAGAGAAGAATGTTCGAGCTGTCGAACGTCAGCCAGTCCGGATACTCATCTTAACGTTTCAGCCTGGTCGTGGATACTTCACCCTACAGCTGTGTGGAAGGTGTTGCTTTCATTAAATTCGCGTGCACGTCCCGCGCGTGGGCCAATTAGAGAGTCGAAAACCAATTTCAGGATCAACGATCGCATGGCACGACGACGTGGTTAAATTTATGGCTCGTTCTTCGTGATTCCGGCGTCCACCGCAATTCCTCCTCCATTCTCCCCTTCGTCGGAACCGGAAACCCGTCGACACCGGTTCTAATTTGGGTTTCACGTGACAACTACCATCGAGTTATTACCGAGACGAAGTCGGTGCCCTGCGAAAGAGAGAGTTCGTCGTTCTTTACTTAAAACACGCTTCAGGGAACACGTTTGGTTACATTCCGTGATTTAGGTGTCTAGTTTGCCTCTGTCTTCTACTCAACCCCTTGTACCTACACTTTTTCCCTCTTTCATTATATCAATCTTTACGTGTATACTTTCGCAGTGGAAGATCTTCCGGAAACAAACATTCGGTTATTTTTTTAAAAGGATGAGAAGATTTGCGAATTTTATTTTTCTTGAAGGAAAACGGAATACTAATTATCACGATATTTTTGTTAATATTTGCTGCTTCAGATTATTGTCCTCGTCTTCCCTCCTTTCCATAAACGAATTTTATATTAACTATATTCTAACACGATATATTTTCCATATTCATTTTATATTTATTTAACCTTCTGTAACCGGAAACTCCAAAAAAGGATTCACTGGTTGATAGCTCGTGTTTACTCGTGTATGTATAAAAAAATGAAAACTTGATTCCAATTTTCGAATTTTTTGGGAAATATATAAAACCAACGTCACTGTACAATTCTATGAAAGTCTAATCTTTCGGTATATCCAAGAGTCATAGAGTTAACATCGCCATTTGTTTCCAATATTTTCCACTTTATTTTAAATATATTTCACTTTAGGTAACTTTTTTTAAAACTAATTTCACTTTTATATGAGTATATTTTAGTACTTCGGTATTCAAACGTTCACGCACAGTTAGACGAGGAGTTACCGACTGAGCATCGACGAACCTAACCTCCAAATCAGTCCCAAGGCGCAGCGAAGGGAACAGTCGCAACTTGATTCCAATTTTCGAATTTTGTTAGAGAAATAAAACCAAAGTCACTGTATAGTTCTATGAAAGTCGAATCTTCCGATATATCCAAGAATCACAGGGTTACATCCCCCATTTGCTTCCAATATTTCCAAGAATCTAATATTTTCCAGTTTATTTTAAATATATTTCACTTTAGGTAACTTCTTTTAAACCAATTTCTCTCTGATATAAGTATATTTTAGTACTCCAGTATTCAAACATACACACACAGTTAGACGAGGAGTTACCGTCTGATCATCGACGAACCTAACCTCCAAATCAGTTCCAAAGCGCAGCGAAGGTGCAATCGCAACTTGATTCCAATTTTCGAATTTTTTGGGAAATATATGAAACCAACGTTACTGTACAATACTATGAAACTCTAATCTTCTAGTATATCCAAGTGCCACAGGGTTAACTTCGCCCATTTGTTTCCAATATTTTCCGCTTTATTTTAAATATATTTCACTTTAGGTAACTTCTTTTTAAACTAATTTCACTCCGACATAAGTATATTTTAGTACTCCGGTATTCAAACACACACACACACATACACACACACACAGTTAGACGAGGAGTTACCGTCTGAGCATCGACGAACCTAACCTCCAAATCAGTTCCAAAGCGCAGCCAAGGGGACAGTCGACCGGAGAGTCATAGAGGGAGCTATAATCGACTAAGAAGTATGAAATGAACGACTACCCGTGATCGTTCACGGGCCTGGAAACGAACAATTACACTCTGTCTCTCTTTCTCTCTCTCTCTCTCTCTCTCTCTTTGCGGTGATTCGACACGGGTAACGTTCGTTCATAAAGGCGTGGAAGTGACAGAAGGGCGAATCTCGGCGTGGAACGAACGAGTCCGCGATGAGTAGCATCCTAAAAGTTGAGTGGCAGCCATCTCATTACTTAAATGCGTCCGTTAGCCGAGAGAAGCCAGGGCCAAGAGAGCAGAAGTTTCCACGGTCATAATCGCCGCTAATTGACGTCGGAGTTATAAAGTTCAGTGAAATTAGCTAAATCCTTATTTGGACTCTCGTTATTCCGACCCCTCGCTTTCGTCTTCTCCCATTGGACCTCCGTGGACGTATTAATCGCCCGGTTGTCCCTATATCTCTCGCGACTGACGCCAAGTCTAACGAAAGAATTTTTTCGTTAGCCTTCCAGAAGCTTTGGAATTAAACCCGGGAAAGGAATTGCTTATCGTTGACTATTTCATGAAATTCAACGAGTACACGCGGCGATCCATCGTCCTTAATTGACGTGGAGTGTTCGGGAAAGTTAGGTTAAAAATGAGAGAACGGAACACCTAAGAAGGGTACAGACTTCGGCGCGGATCAGGCAAAAGAGGGGGATATCTCACGTAGGAAGTTACGTAAGTCATTGTTCTTCTGGATTTAGAGAAGAATAGCGTGAATCTGGCGAATGTGTAAGCGACATCTTCCTACGAAAGTCTGGAAGATCGCGAACTGGGTTTTTAGAGGAGAAGCTCTATGTCACCGTTAGCGAGCTTCCACGCGACTGATTCTGTAATGCAACTAGCGTAAGTGTGACTAAGTTAACGTAGTAATTAAGACGACGGATTAACATGTCTGGCAATCTCATGTAAAGTGTCGCACCATCGTAATCAGTATCATCACTGTCACTATACTCCTTAATATCCATTTGCATTCATTTAAGGTACCCTTCACCTCGCTCGTCATTGTGTTGTGGGACCCAGTGTTGTGTGCTTGTATATTTGAAAGTATAAATACTCAACGTTACTTGAACCGCGGAAATGCTCATTGTCGCAACAAACATCGTCGTGACATTCTAATCATTACTCTCTTCGTCGGCAGTCATGATCCATCGAGTCCTCGTTCTCCTCTCTAATCTTCATTTTCATTTCAACTCCCGTCTACCACTCTTCTCTCATCGCTATCTTACTCGATCTTTCGTCATCCTCCTTCACGTTTTGTTTAATGTTTCTCTTCGATACTCCTCTCTCACGCGAGTCATTCAGACCAAAATGAGTTGGAACACGTTCACCATTTGTTATCATCCTTCACATTTCCATGCGACGAGAGAGAAATCAGATTGTCATTGTGAGACGATCACGTATATTCATCTTCATTCATCCAAATCAAAAAGAACAAAAGAAAATAATGCATCCAGAATCGGGAAGAGCGGAGAGCAATGTGTGCAATACTCGGTGACCCGAGTTGGCTCTCCTGTCGCGTCGGAATCATTATATTGCGAAGAACGAAACTCATCCAGAACTAACATTCTAACTTGAGTATTATACTTCAAGTTTAGGTGTTTAGATGTGCTCTGATTTATATGGTAGGATGCTCTCTCTCAGGACCCGAAGGCTGCAACCTGTTCATCTACCACCTGCCTCAGGATTTCGGTGATATAGAGCTCATGCAGATGTTCATCCCTTTTGGCAACGTCATATCGTCCAAGGTTTTCATCGACCGGGCCACTAACCAGAGTAAATGCTTCGGTAAGTGTGTCAATTTCCACGAAACACGTGAAGAGTGGCCCGGAGGAAAGAAACGAAAAAGGCTGTTAGACAGGTAGATGGATCGGTGCTGAAATTTTCGAAAGGTAGGATGGATAGATGGAGATGTGAGTCCAGGGGATAACCGCTTGGCCGAAGGACGAAAGTAGTATGACGGAGACGAATAACGATAATTCTTATCGTAGTCTAGGGTAGTATTTGAAATTAATAGCAGGAGGCTCTGTTTTAGGATAATAAGATCCTTTTAAAAACCCAGTAGACTCTATTAATTTTCTTAATATTTTTTGCCACTATGATAATTATTTTAAAATATTTTCCTTAATCAAACGATTTTATATTTTTATCTTCTTTTATTCATTATTTTCACTATTTTACTCGCTTTTGTAACTCGTTGTCATTGAAATTGCTTAAAAAACAAATTGTTATAAATTGTACATACTCGAGACTTCGTTATCTTGCATTATTTTCGAATTTTTAATTAATATTTCAGTTCCAGTAAAAATTTTTAATCCTGTTACGTTTTTATTACTTATAGATATAGCAATGAAATAATTTAGCGAAAGTGATAAATAAATTAGACCACGATCAGCGATACAAATTCGTTAAAAAGACCACTAGAGACAAAGGTAGTATAACGAAAACAAATAATAACGTTTAATATATATTGCCATAGTGTTTATAATAAATAAAAGTGTTCTTAATAGACTCTATCTTAACTTTGAAAAATATTTTGAAGAACCTAGCAAATTTCTATAACATCCTGCAATTATTTAATACAGCTCTGTATCGGAATAACAACCCTAAATTAAATTCGTCAATTAATCGAACAAATTTTCCAAAATTGAATTTCTAAAAATATAAACGAACTCGTAGTTAAAGCAACAAAGGAATAAATTAAAAAAGCGAGGGAAAATATTATCGATACGCGAACACATAATTAAACACATACACGATTGTCGTAGCATCCAATCGATCTCTGGAAATATTCTTTTTCCTTGCTTCTAGAAATCCAATTAATCACAGCTTGCATAAAAGATGGGATTCTAAATTTGCCTGAGCCTCGGTGGAGCAGAAATTTTTCGTTAAATACTCCGACTGTGACTCGAATGAGACTACGTACTCCTTTCGCTTAATCAGAAGGGGTCGAGACAAAAGAGTGGCTGAAAAAGCTAGCGGCCGCGGCTTTGATTAATTGTACCCACAGTGAATGCGCAGCTATAAGTGCGTATAATTGGACTGATATATTCGCTGATATTCTTCTTACAATTAGTCTATTCATACGTAACTAGCGCGATTAATATTTTTCTGCCTGTCGCCGATTATCGTGGCTGGTACAGTCGAATGAATCTCATCGCTGAGAGGACACCGATCGTTATGTCCTCGGTTTCGTTATGTGTCGTCCCGCGTGTAATTATCGAGATATCGACGAACCGGGAAAGAGAAAAAGAAAAGCAAATGGCGGACGCCCGAAGTGACCATACCTGGTCACACTCGCTCGCGACGGGTATGTACTTTAAAATCGACACTCTGTGATCAAGTTGCCAGAAAGGAGGTATAATACGATCAAAATAGGAGCAACCATGCGAACGAAAATTGGTCATAACATATAGGATAGTGGAATAAAATAGTGGCAGAATCGATATATAGTATAATTCGAGCCGAAGAAATGATTGGGAATAAAGGGAGATATTTATCGAGATATAAAAATTTGAAATGATACAAAATTCGTGTTGGACCGATATCAATCGCTAAAGAGCACCCTGTCGAAGGGCGATCGCATACGTGTGAGAGAAAATTCGCTCGGAAAGCTTTCACGTCCCCCGTGAATTACGCCGATGACACCCCGACTATTTCCTTAAAATCCGGCCGAAAGAGGGACTCGCAGGGTAAAAAATGGAAGAAGAAATGGGAAAAAGGAATCTTTGGCATCGAACAAGGGTTAAAGCCTCTTCAGTCACCTGGTAAAAGTAATTTACGAACTGCGAGTAAAAGCGGTGGCCGCCGAGCGATGAAGAGCCGCGATTGGTCAGGCAGTAGGCCGCCATGATGGCAAAACTAAAATTGGATCGGGGCTAATGGTCAAAATTGGCTTAAACTGGGAGGGCCCTGATGACCTTTCAGCGGCGCTTCTGTTGTTAAGAGCTTCGTTATCGTGCACCTTCTCTCTCTCCCTTTCTCTTATTCCCGATAAAACTTTGATAGCACCGCGGCGCCACCTTCGCGGCCAACTTTTTACTCCTCGCGGCGAGTCGGCTAATCTAAATCACTGGCTAGCCTATGGGCCGACCCTCCGCGATAATCCGGATGCCCCCAGGTGTCGATATTCAACTTCCCGTTTTCATCGTAAGTCGAGGGGTGATATCGTGGCCAGTTTCTTAATCTGAATTCGGGAACACTTTCAGCTCGGCCGGTGGGAAGATTCTCGTGGCACAGTCAGGGGGTGCAATCGACGTCCTGATTTATATTTCTTCGATGCACAAGTTCGTGCCTCTGGACTTTGCTCGAGAGATTTTATCGAGGGGGTTTAAAAGCGAAGATATCGATGTTACACGTATTTCCTTTTAATGTAAAATCTTGTTGATTTCTGTTACTTTCCGTTGCATTTATTATGTATAATGTATATTATACGAATTTGTGTTTATTTATTGCATAACGATGTATGTATATTATACATTATATATAATACGTTGTAATTATTAATATATTTCGTATATTTTATATTATATGATAGATGAATTTGAATATATATGTATGTGTGTGTTTTCATATGTTCATATATTATATCGATTTATATATTCATTATGTTAATTACTGTATAGCGTATAATACCGTGCAAATCATTTTTGCAACGGTTGTATTTGCAATTAATTGCTGTATTTGTATTTGGAGAGAAATGAACAAATTTTGCACCGATTTAATACGAATTTCGAAACGATTTGGTAATTTGGTGTTTTAGCTTCGCTTTACATCAAAATTGTATTAAACGAATTCATTCTTCGGGGTTTAGCATGGATTATAACAATTAGTTATACTGTAACTAACTTCAGTTTCGCGATAAATTATATAAAATTTATGATCCTCTTTTGAAATACAATTTTTAGCATTAATCGATAAAAATTTATTATAATTATTTCTTGGACGTTACCGAAGAGTTTTATAAATTGCTGAAAATTTGCTATAGTTTTATACTTTAATCGTGATATATATAATACTGCAGTTTACTTGCGATAACGAGGGATAGAGCTTTTAAGAGCACTTTTAATTTTCAAAAAGACCTGATATTTATTATTTCATAGACTCATGATATTATATGAGTATCGATGTGTTTATTAAGCAGCAGTGGCGTGAAATTTCCTTCTTTTATTCGTTCCTTCATCCAAATTGAAAATTTATCGCTCGTTTCTTTCAGGTTTCGTGTCGTTCGACAATCCTGCGAGCGCGCAAGCAGCAATTCAATCGATGAATGGCTTCCAAATAGGGATGAAGCGTTTAAAAGTCCAGTTAAAGAGGCCCAAGGACGCAAACCGGCCATACTAACCAAAGTCCTAGCTTAGAGAAACTGGACGATACGCACCCTACATCATAACCCACAGAGTAAGTTTTGAAAGACCTCTCGAAAATCACCCTAAATACACTCATTTCACCAATATCATGTAATCTCACGAAAGTATTGGAACATTTAAATTTCAAATTTTTCATTTCCAAACTACGATATTTGCCAAATTTTTCCAATTTTATCTACACATTCGCAACATTTGTATCTTACTCTAACCACAATAATGTTTCAGAAATTTCAATTCAGAATATTTCGTTTACTCAAAATTAGAGGAATCGTATAAGAATAGACCCTTGCAATTTTATCCAATTTTTAAACAATAACGTATCCTAATAGTTGCACACGAAACTCGTGTCACAGCGAAATTAATATTATATTTATAATATAATGGAAACGAAATTCACGTGTTTCCCAAAAACAAATTCTTTCTCCCCAAAGAAATTAATTAATTAAATTAAAATTAATAATAAAGGAAAGATTTTAATTAAAATTGAAACTGACGAGGGTAGTTTTCATTTCTACCCTACAATTCTCCATTCAAATTATTCGAATACTTTCATGGGAAGCTATCATATTTTCGTATCACTCCTAATTAAATATCGAGCATCATCCAATTTTCTTTCCAAAATCTGTAAGATACAGTATCGCAAGTCTTACGTTGAAGCTTGAAAATCGTCCACCGTCGATAATCCAAGACAAAATGTCCGTTTTCACGCGTAACGAACAATCCACGATCTAATGACAATGGACTAAATGCTGTCGACCATTTCTAATTGCAGATGTCGTACAAGAACACGGGCTTATTGAACGCTCGACGATCAGGAGTGATGAGTTTGAATCACCGTTACAACGCTCTCCACTATAATAATCTAGTAACTAGTTAGATAATTAATTAGAGGATAAAAATTAGAAGTCAGTAGATTGACTTCGCCGGCAGCCACGCGGCGAGGACGAAGAGGCTGATGCTAATGAAACATTGGATGTCCAGCGCTGAACCCAGTTCGAGAATACCAAACGCGAGTAGGATTCACGCTTTCAAGCAACTCTCGGATGCTCGGATATGAACAAATTCTTTACTAAGAACGGAACAACATCGATCTTCTTCATCCTCCACGTTTCTATCTCCTACATCTATTTATTCTATTTTATACACCTTTCCGTTCATTCGCTATCGTTCCCTACTGCCAAAACGAGGACCGTATCGAAAGACCGATACGATTATATACTACTCGATACGATTTGTCTTTCAAAAGAAATCGATGACATCCTAGCACGATTTCTCAGCGATCCGATCATCCGGGATGTAGATGACGGGAGCCTTAGAGCCTCTCGACCAGGTTATCGTTCCGACGACACACACTGAACTCGTAAATAGTTTGATAATCACGATGAACGTTCAAGACGGGTGACTTTCCAACAGTAACCATATGAATACTCTTAGTTCCTGACATAACGGCACGGCGATTGTAGCCGACCGACTGTTAAAGAAAAGTTAACTATTACTGCGATTCGACCCATAGAATACGAAAGAAAGTACCTCTTCAGATTCTTAGGCAGCACGAATCCAGGTGTCAGTTGAGTTCTCTATACTTTCTAAGAGCAATCTTTGCCAGTCTTCGTTTCGAACGCAGGTTATAATAACAGTGTCGAATCAGGACACCGGCATGCTCGGTCTCCGTGAACGCAATCTACGATCACCAGTTAAATATAACGATACGACACGTATAGCAAACTGGTCGTTAGGGCCGGTTTCTATGCCTAGTGGTCTTCGGACAGGACCGACGGCACAGTGCTCGCGGTCTCTCCTAAAAACGCAAATTTGTCAATCACGTATACAGGGTGCTCGTCTCACGCAACGTCTACAAATTTCTAAAACGGGAACTACGTACGAACACATTTACCGTACACACGCGTAATATGTACTTACACGACCCGCGTCCACGCACGCGGTCGCACCTTGCACCGACACACCTCATACGTACACATCGACACACCGATACGCTCATCTATACACGCATACACACTCGTCTACACATATATATCTATATATATATATAGAATCGACGCGAGAAAAGGAAAAAAGAAAAATATAGAAAAAAAAGAAGATAAAGGGACACGAAATCAACGGCGACCCAACACACCTCGCGGGTTATCGATTCTATCTTACGTTTAAGGATACCAAACGCATACACGCATACGTACGTCGCGCCGTAGGTTTTATACACGAGACATTTTCAAGGGATCGTTAGTGCCGTGTCAAAGTACATTTCGAGGTCCGGTCGTCCGCGCCAACGTAACACTTATTATTACTACTACTACTACTACTACCACTACCCCCTCCCTCTCCCCCAGCCACGTTATCGTCATCATCATTATTATTATCGAGAACATGAATTATTAAGTACGATTATCGTTAAGTGAAAAGCGCGCGAGCGAATTTCCGGCCGACGCTATATCCATCGGGAGTTCCTCTTTTTAACGAAGGATCGTTCGACCTGATTCACACTACGCTTTTCGCGGCCCGTAGAGGGATGCAAAGGGGGGAGAGAAAGAGAAATGTGAAAGAAAATGGGAAAGTGACACACGGGCTCCTGTTGTTGTTCATTCTCACGGCTCGATGATTCGCCAAATCGTTCTCGTTTGACTGACCGGTCACGCATCGCCCGAGAAATGTCAACCAGGCTGTGATTATCCAAACAAAACAAAAGTAACAAAAGGGAAGGTGCAAAAGACGACGGGGACGGAGACGAAGACAGGGACGAGGACGTTGGACGATGGACGTTGACAGGATCGGTTCCCTATCGCGCAGGACGTTGCGATCCTGTCCTTTCGATCACAGGACACTGGATGGGCAGAGGACACTGACGACGAGTGAAAATAGTAGATCTAAACCGACTAAATCCGAGGAGATTTACCATTTGCTTTTTCTATTTTTTAGCATTTTTTTTACTTCGTTTACCTAGTCTATGTCTAGTCATTTTGTGCTCTAGTTGAAGGATCGTTGCTCTATGGAACGTGTGTTCGTCATAGGATATTTATTTAGTATTTATGTAAGAAATTTCGTGGAACGGCGTTTTCGTTTCTCACGTAGAAGGTACGTAGCTTTTCTTTTTGGAACCAAAGTGGCTATTTAAGTAAATGTTTAGGGTAATGCGCGTAGAGTTCTCGAGGTCTCGTGGTCAGGCCAAGTGCAATTTTTATTTTAGAATAATTTCGCTAGTAGCGAAATAGGATTTTTGTTTCCTTCCTTCTTTCCCCTGACGATCGAACGTCGAATTATTTATCGAACGATTTATTCGTAAGGAGCTTGGTATCTTACGCCGTTTCTTGTCTTTACAGACGTATCGTTCCTCGTTTGTTTTCGTTAGCGTTGCTTGTTATAGCGATTCACTTTTATCTGATTTAGGAGGATTAGGGGAGCTTTGAGGGATTTATCTGCAAACCGAACAGACGCACGCGGTACTTACGTTGGTAATAAGTTCACAGAATTTGTGCCTACTGATGTGGATGGCAACGGACGGTACACGTGTGAACATTGAATATTTTTTTAAGCAGGATAAATAAAAACATTTGGACATTTAACGAGCGATGCCCGGTCGAATCACAGAGTTTCTCGCGAGCTTCGATTTATACGATTCGCATGGGCAGAGGAAGCCGGGTAGAGGACGCAGCGACGAGAGCATTGGTGTATTAGGGGTGGTAATGGGGTTATTAGGACGAAAGCAAATGCATAAGGTACGCCGGAGAATCGAAAAAAAAATATGCAAAAGGGAGGAAACTAGTGCAGGCGAGCGATGGAACGGAGAAGAAAACTCTGATCTAGCAGAAATAATCAACTATATATATATATAAAAATATTGATTGATTGAAAGGAACTAGAGACTTAGTAAATTATTATAGTTTAGCTAAATCAACATGAAATGAATTATTACTTCGAAGGACAGGGAATGGGAGGACCGGCTCTAGTCTGGCGCAATTTATGACACGACTAAAAGCTATCTCAAATTTATACGCTATTTAAATAAATATAATAAATGCTACAAAGAGATACGTAAACGTATAAACACGAGTTCACGCCTGGCGTGCGTGTATTTGGTGTGTACGCATACAGGCGCACGCCGCGTGCATTTTGTTTATGCGTTCACGTGCGCACGTATAAATAATGTACTTTATAGTTTAGGGGGGCAGGCAACCCTTCTCCTTGCTTTTTTTCCACCGGTTCGTGAATTCGTTGCCTGTTCGTACACTCGCACACAAAACGAATCATTGCAAACACTACTGTAACTTCACTTATACATACACGTACGCAACTTAATACACGGATTGATAATGTAAAAGCGTGGTACATACGTGTATGTGGCTCGCATGCGCGCGCAGACGCGTGTGCGAGTCTTCAACTATATGGTCTCCGAAAAGCTTTAACACTTCGACTAAATGGACTACGGTCCGTCTATGAATAAAATAACAATAATAACAATAATAATAATAATAATAATTATATAAATAATAATTATATAAATAATAATAATAACACTAACAATAGTAACAACAATACTTTATAAGACGTATACATAATTTATACTACGCGATAAACGTATATACGTATATATTCTTGTCAGTTTTAGGAATGCTAAATTTTGTCTAGAGGCATATATACATAAATATATATTTTCTATATATACACGCATATATATGTATGTATGTATATATGTATAGACTGAAGTGAACGGAAGCGCGGGCGTAGATTCGGGTTGCTGAAATAACGCCATCTAGGATGCGGGAGAAGAGAAATCTTTGCCACGTTGTACCGGTGCACAATTACGATCAGGAATCGAGGCGCAACGTCCAGCTGCGCGACGATACGTCGTTCCCCAGGAACGTTGACAGGAACGTTGACAGGAACGTTGATAATCGCGCATACATGCTGGCCGAAAACGGCGAAGGGAAACGAAAAGGGACGAGAGGAAAGGAGAAACGGTGCGATCGCACGTTCCCGACCATCTATCGACGGCTATTCGAACTATCGCGAAAGCGCGACACGACAGGATCGAGGTTAGGACGAAATTCAGGAACACTGCGTGTAACAGACCCGACTGATCACACGAAATCAAATTTGCTAAACAAACTGATCCGAAATATGTGTTCACGAAGGCGAGGGTAAATATAAGAGAAGGAACTAGGAATTAACGCGACCATACGTTTGCCAATTCGTGGTCCAATCAGAGGCTATATAAGAGCAATGGCCGATCGGGAAAGGCCGAGTGCGCATGCGCTGATCGAATGGCAGCGACGCGACCGTAAACACAATTAGGAGATGCGTGCATCGCGAGCGTATCCGTCTTTGCCCGCCTGATGCATTAGACGCGTACGATGCGCAGCGAGGTCTGCGCAGGTGCAGCCTGCAGATGAGCGTTTCATTTCTCATGGCATTGTGCACGTCTCCCGGTACACGTCCGGCAAAGACGATTAGCGGGCAAGCTGAGCGGATTAGACTCGGCTAGATACTTGTCTACGAGTTTCCTATTCCGCAGACCAGTCCGTTGATCTCTCCGCTAAAATCGAATCAACGCATTCCATTTTCGAAATAGCATTAGCTATTAGTGTCATCGCTGTTTCTAGGCGTATACCACGGACACGAGCTCCTATCGTTCGTTTTGTTTAGCCGGTCAGCCGACAAACGTACGCGCCAAACTACTCGACGAGCATATACTAATATACCTACTTGCAAATCTCTTCGTTTCCGTGCAATCATTCGACGACTTATCGAGCCGTTCAACTTTTCGCCACGCTCACTGCTCATCGGGCCATCTGTCCATTTACGACACGCGTCACACACGTATCGTTTTCTACTTTTCGATAATTGCCGAGCCTTCGCCTTTCACTTCCCCGTTGTTCCGTTTTCGTGCTTCGCACGAGTCGCGTCGTATCTCGCGTTGCGTATCGCGAAGCGTCCAAATCGAGTATCTCGTTTGTCGTTCTTCTATCCTACCTTTCGTTCCTTTTCTAACCGCGTTCTTTTCCGTTCGACAGTTGTACCACGCGCAATCGTGCGATGTAATATACAGAGGTAGGAGGGAGGTTAGGCCGCCAAAGGTGATCGAGTTATAGAGACACGCGCGCACACTTAGTCACGCGCATGCGCGCGAACACGTGACAAAGAAGAGAAGGGGCGAGAAGGACACGTATACTGGTAAAAGCTTGTATGCAAGTACCAATTGATAATATCACTACGATCTAAGCTTTTTAATGTTTAAACAGTACTAATAGCGAATATCAAGGTACTCAACCTACCCTAACAAAGGCCACCCTAATAATAGCTATTAAATTCATATAAATATAAATGTATACATATATAAATGTATAAAAATACGAAGGTAACGACAATTGTAAGCAAAGCAAAAAAAAAAAAAAATACAACTATTTTATCCAACAAAGTTTTTGCTACAACCGAAGTAGTATGCATCTTGCTGACGGAGTAAATGAGACTTAAAGGAGGAAGAGGAGGATGATGAGGTGAGAGGAAGCAGAAGCCGATGAAGCAGGAGAGGCAGAAATATGAATATTCTTAGCTCTAAGGACAAGATGACAAAAGAGATAATGATAATAGTAATCTGTGAGGATCAGCTTCGAATTTATTTTTACATGACGTGATGTAACGCCGAGACGAATTCGCTGCTCGCAAGTGTAAACCTTCCGAATTCTACTCGGGATTGCGACGTGCTCGCGGAAATTCAAGCGTCCGAACGACGCACTCGGGTATCGAATTTTGTACCGATCTCGGTTCCAACCGAGTATCCAAAGTATCCTCTCGCGAGTTCTCGTAGTCGCGAAATCTGTCGTCGAAACGTCTTTCCTACGTATGTATACATATATACATTTCTTTTCCTTTCTTTTTGTCTTCTCTCTTGAGACAACAAAATCGGTACTCGTGGTCGTCGTTGTCCAACAGCATTGTCGACCACAGGAATTCCACGGACGGGGGATAAAAATCGGCCGGTCGTCGCGATGCTCGACATCGTGATCGGGGGTCGACGTTATCGAGATCCCGGGAATTTTTATGGTAGCCACGGCTGACACGCACGAAGATTCGATGGGAAACGGGAATATCCTCCACTCTCGAATATATGCTAACCTTAATAATAATAACGATCAAACACCACATGTAAACGTACTAGCATTTTACCACCGTAACTCGCACACGAAACAGCCGAAAGGAAAAAAGGAAAAAGGAAAAAAAAGAAACAAAAAAAAAAAAAGAAGGATTTATCAACCCTCTCGTCACTGCTATACCGCGTCATCGATCCAAATTTTACGTGGGATTACATTGGATTCAAGTCACGCGCGCCGCGACCTGATATCCGGTAGCCGTGGTGTCGGTGATACTAGGAAACAGGGTATGTTTTTGCAATTATTTGCATAACTTGTAAAGAACTAGCAACAAAATAAAAAAAAAAAAAATAATGATACACGTTTACACACACCGTTCTATACACTCATACACACATATGTACACGCTCGTGGAGAGAAAAATGGAAAAAAAAAATTAAAAAAAAAATAAATAAAACGGGAGATCGTAACGAAATAACGAAACACACATATGTACACACACACACACACACGATGGATCTGCAACCACCGCTTGACACGCGTACACACGCGTGTACCGCATACGTCGGCACGCGTTCGCGCGTGATCACCGTACTTACTTACACGAGATTATACAATACGTACGTAAAATTCACGCGAAGCTGTTGACACGCGTAATTAACAATGGAAGGCGAGCGGGGCGAAGCATTCACCTAATCATATTATCTTTATCTATACGAATATTAAACTAGATAGGTCTCATCGTAGGCTTTAAGCGTCGATCATTAACGAGTTACAAATTTC